ATCTGATACACTTTGACATATCTCAAACACTAAATAGCCCCATCTTGACTCCAAGAACAGACACGTCCGTCACTCATCATCTCACACAAATGTAGGACCTCAGGAGGAGAAATACAAGTCAGTGACACAGAACACAGGCCTCTGGGAAGATAAAGACACTTGTTTCTACCTTACATTTCCTGAAATGCATCCACTGGACAACTCTCCTCTTCCTTGTCCTATATTCCACACATTCCAGTACTCCCGCATGCAACGGACAACAAGAACAAGCCAAAACAGCCCCCCTAATCTCTATTTAATACTTTCATTTTTGTTTGCATATGCAAATGATTTTGGTGCCACTATAATTGGAAACTGTAGGGCCTCCCTCTTCAGATATACTTCAGAATTTCTATAGAACTACAAAGAAATCGGTCTCAATCTAATAAGGGTCTAAAATGGTAAAATGGCCCCGTATTTGAAAATATATCATGGTTGTGGCTCTCAACCTGTAGCCCCGTAAAAACATTTGCTTAATCAGGATTTATCAAGGCATATTTTTGAAGAAATTGTTCATCAGGTTCTGAACACTATGAAAGTATTGATTACATTAGCGTCGCTTTGTTTTTGCACTACTGTTCTTGGATCACAGATACCTTAGGCTTACCTTAAGAGAGGGACAACAGGAAACAAGCCTGACAATCTGCAAACTTAATTCTAGTATCATAAGTTGACTGTAGATACCACAAATACAGATTAAAAAATTGAGGTGAGAAAGTAGCTAGAGGATTTAATCTTATAAGCAAGCATTTAATCTTAAAGTCATCCACTAGAACAGTAGCTCAATCATTAGTTTGGTTTTCAAAAATGTGTAATTTTCAGGCATATGATTAGGGAGGGAGAAGAAGGATGGCCTACTACAAAGCAGCCCATACGATGAACATTTTTCTACAGTATCTGTAAACTTATATTTTTTATCTTTATCTTTGAAAAAAAAAAAAAAAAACTTTTTTATTTTAGACCTATGTCAGTGGGGTACTATAGGCCTGGATATAGCTTTCTAAAGAAAAGAAAAAGATTTGAAATAAGGCATCCCAAATTTTCAAAGGTCCTTTCTTCTAATCTATCTGCTTGAATAATGCGTCCAGAGTGGCATTTTGTAATGACAGCAACTTTCCAACAAATCAATAGTTATTTAATTCCCAACAAGCTCTCGAGTCCATTAAACCTGATTACATTCACCCATTTCAGTTGGGTGCAGTTATTTTTCCTACACCGGCACTTAATCTATAACAGGAACTTATGAGAACTTTCAAAAGCAATTTCAGCATCAATCAGCATAGAGTGAAAGGCACGATTTGCTTGTAATTATTTATTGGACAGGATGGCACAAGGTCTGACGGAGCTCTGGTGTCCGACCTTCACCCCCAAATTCTAATGGATACGAAGGTCTGCTTGATGTGCTTAAGTCTGCTACTGCGCCTTACCGCATGACAAAGTAGCATCAGTTTGCACAGGCCAAAAAGCTTATATTTTTTCAATACCCAATAGAGGCCAGTGTGCATTTATATTTCTATTTTAGACCAATGTGTCTGACACTAAGTCTAATACGAATAAGACCATTCATAATCTTAGATGGACTTGATATATATAGAAAAACTCTCTGGCTCTTGTTGTCATCCCTGCTACCCCAGCTAAGCACTGCAATCAAGGAGCACAATGACTGTTTCAAACAAATGCCTCTCCTCGAGGGTAATTCGATTGACTGCTAAGGCGATAGGGAAACGCGGTGCTCCACGTTACTCTTTTCCTCTTGACCCTGTTAATGCATCGCAACTGCTGCCACTTATAGTATAGAGGGGACTACTTGATTCTGGCAATGCTTAGAAATATTTCCTGAATATTTTCTCAGTGCTTTCCAATACCGGTCAGTGATGGAATACATTTTGTTACTTAATGTCTATAGTGAATCTCTGTAAAATCTTAAATCTGACAGCAGAAGATGCAGCGGTACCCCTTCTTGATTTAAAAAAAATAATAATAATTAATTAAAAAAGTAGAAACATAACAGACAACACAACAAATAATTGCTAGTTAACTTCTACAATATAGAACTATCTCACAGAACCAAAATTTTAAACTTTCAAGACTCAGAAGGGTTTGTGGAAGTATTTTGTAAAGAGACAATTTTCCACGCATAAAAAAATACCAAGCCTTATTCATTGTGACGCATAACTTATGAATTAATGCATATTTAATGCTATACATATTTGCTACACTAAAACACTTAGCCTAAGCACACCGAGGTAAGTTACTTTGTCTTATGACCTGCCGTGGGAATGCTGAGTCCCTCAGAAGCCTCGGATGGATAGCAAATCCTCTGCCCTGTGGTCAACCTCACAAAGCAAAGGCATGAATGTTAAGCAGCAGACAGATCAATACAAGCAAATATAGCTCAACTACACCATTTATTCAGCCATGAGAGATGTCAATACACAGATTAGGGTGATCCATCTTTTTGATTTCCTACTGTCTTCTCACAGACTACATGAGAGCTTTTGCCTGTATTAAAAGTGTTTGCTTTCTCAACCATAAAAATTCCAATTATTACTCTAAGTGCACTAGAGTTAAGTTGCTTGTTGGAAGCGGCCTTGCATTACCTGAACAAGTCCAGCGAAGTATGGTGCTGCTGGCAGAATCATTGGCACTCCATACGGATGTAGCAAAACTCCTTGAGACGACAACATGGTTTAAGTGATAGTATTACTCCCACTAAAGCTAAACACATCAATTGAAAGTTAGGGGAAAATCTATATACCAACTTCTTCCAAACTCAGAGCTAGAACCAAATAACTTCTGTCACGGGCAAAGCCCACATCAGCTGTAAAAAAAAGAAAAAAATTGACGTCAGCAACTCTTAATGTTAAATTTTTCTTCAGAGACAACAGATAGAGACAACAGCTGCAAAGCTAACTCTACCAAAAAAAGGAAGGTGCTATTTTGGGACCAGCTTAAATAACATGACTAACCAACTACTCTTTATCAGTTTAGATTTTCAAGTAATACACACACACAGATCAAACTCTCCAAGTTGGTCTTTCCACAAGACAAGAATTAATTTTGTTAGCAGCAGCAATATATATATGACAACAGTTACTATTAGAAGCTATTAAAAAAGTCAGCTTTATTTTGATTGTGTCAATAAGTATTTCCTTCCATTTATCAGCTGTTAAGCAAAATCCAAGTGAAAATTTATACTTAAACTTTACCTACATTTGCTTTTGATTCATTATATTTTTCTCGCTTAATTTGAGTATCTAAGTTAACTAATGTTAGCTAACTATTTCTATTAGGGTAAATTTTATTTTAACAGCTAGCAGACCCTTTGCTATCCTTTCACAACGTCTGTATTGTCACATTTATCATAGCCTTTTTGAAAAGTCTAAATTGACCTTTTAGAGTATTTTTCTTATCTGTTCTCAAGCTAAATTTATGCTCTTGGAGAAAAAAAAAAAAAAAGTCTGTTTTTAATGTACTATTTGCAAGCTACTGTCTTCCACAGACTGTTTTTGATAAAAGAAACTTAGTTATTAACACTTCTATTTCATACACGGCATAGTTTCTATCACAGATATGATTAATGACAAGAATTAAAACTGAGCAAGTTTATTTTAATTCGATGATTACTTAAGTGCTTAAAACTTCATGTTACAAGTTAAAGAAATACCATCCTCTCCCGCAGTCTCTGAGCTACCAGGGTGCTTCACATCACTAATTCCAGCTTCTTGATTTTGTTGCATAATTACTTTTCCCGATAACTAATTGCAGACAAGATTTGATGTGATACTCAATTATTTAACGTCGCTTTTTGGCCATCGCAAAAGGTTTTCGGTAATTGATTCTCATGTATCAAGACAGTCGTGTTGCATGACTTAGAAATCTACCTTAGCAGCTGCGTGTTGACCCATGTTACCAACGGCCTTATCCCATTTCTAACTTTAGATGCTGAATAGTGACCCTCTCCGATGCTTTTTTGGGGGTCTGCCAATGAGGACAGCAATTGGTATGTGACGAAGTGCTGTTTACCCAGTAGCATCATCTGTTTAGAAAATAGCTTTGCTCTTCTCTTGGGGATAACACTGCTTGTGCTGGCTATCTGACTACGCTTAGCTCTTAATCATACCTCATGTTCTTTTCTCATTAAGGAACAGAACTCTACAGTTTAATTATCAACCACACAGTGGGCTGATACATGGGGGTTTTGCCAAAAGGTTTTTCATAAATTCCAACATTAAAAACACTTATTAACTTCCAAACAGAAATACAGAAACAGAAGGTATAGATGAAGAAATGTGATGCCATTACGACTCATTTAAAAGGACTTCTTTTCTAAAAAGCATACTTTCATTTTAACTGTTACCTATTTGTTTGGTGTAACAGAGGGAGTTGCATTTTTTAAAAAAAGATTTCTTTCACTTTGGACTGGGGACTTTACACCGAGTTCTTTAAGCTTCACTCAAATGATCCAGTACGACTGCTGACATAAATAAGGATTGTTATTCTGCAAAATATCCAGTATTTTTTTTATTTCATCATATATGTATTTGATATAATGCTATAAAACCCAGAGAGCAAGAGGATTTGAACAGGGACTGACAAGCGGTTGAAGTGGTAGGTTAATAGGAAAGGCATTTTTTTGCCCTGGGAAGAACAGGCTCAGGGGAAGCTCCGTTGTGGTTTGCTTTGGGAGAGCTTTTGTTTAACATTTTAATCATTGCTTTGGCACAGAGCAACATACACTGATGAAATTTCCTGATGACATGAAGTTGGAAGGTACTGTCAAAACTGAGAAGGATAATAATATTATATAGGAAGAATTGCTCAACCTTAAGGACTGCATAACTAAAAATGGGGCGAAATGCCGTAACACAAAACATAGGCCATCATTTTATGAACTAGTAAAAGAAACTTCGGGTCTACACTCTGGGGGGAAGAGAAGGACCTCTACAACCTGAGCTGCTGGAATGAGGCAGATAATGCAAAGGAAATTACCAGCATTTCTCATGAAAGGTATTTACAATAGCATATACTTCATCTACATTAAAAAAAAAAAAAAATCCAATTCAGCTACAACAGTGTAGAAAAAAAGCCTCTATATTTTGATCACAGGAATGGAGCAACTATTTTGTAATGGAAAGCTAAGAAAGTTTGACTGGCTTACCATTGTGAAACTAGATCTGCAAAAAGGTATGATTGCTGCTTATATATAAAACAGGGGAGAAAGGAGTAGGAGGAAGATTTTAAGCTAAGGACAGTCTTAGCACACTAAAAAAAAATGAGGAAAAAGTAGTTATGAATAAATTTCAGGCTGAAAGTACTTTTGAAATCATTTTTGAAAGTATTTTGATGTTAGATAAGTGAGATTCTAGGAAAGCCTTCCGAAACTGTAGTGGCAAAAATGATAGCTTATGGAAGGAACCAAAAGATATGACACCAATAGTAATGTTAGTCTGGATTCAACAACTAAGAGGAGGACCCTGCCACTTCTTTGCAAGCGGAATAAATATTTAAGAACAACGAAATTTAAGAATTAATAAAATTAATATCTTAAAAGCATTTATATTCACTGCATTTCATTTTGCAATATATAAAAACAAATTTTGAAAATAAACTGTAATTACCTGTTTTAATAAAAAGATGCTTTGCTTGCCTCCCTAGAACAACATGCTTCTAAACGTATAGCAGCATGGCACTTCAAATCCAAGCTCTGACTTTTCTGGTTTGGCCCTTGGATGCTGTCCCCACATGAACAGTAGCTACCTAAGCTCTCACAAACCTCTGTGAATCCAAACTACAGCAGTACATACAGCTTTACTGGTGTCAACGGGCCAAATGCTGAACTTATATCAGTGCAACTATATCAGCTTCAGCAGTTCATACGAACATATTGCTTATCATAATATGCTCTCCCTCCTGACCACAGAAAATGGAAATTTTCCTCAAGCTTTACACTTTACTCTTAGCAGTAATAGTCATTCCTGTTTTGAAAGAATAAGCTGAATAGAAGAAATTGAGCACAAAGAGTGCTGAAGACTTACACACACAGTATTTTGCTATTAAATATGTTAATATTTATGCTTTATTTTAGCAGGACCTCTAGCATGACTGAGGTTATGCACAAGCCCAGATGCTTTTGCTAGGACAGAGCCTAAGTGGTCGGCACTATCACAGAGATCCATCGCCCGCCCGAAGTCACCGATAATGACAATACTTTTTTCCTGCCTACTCATAGATTCTTAACTCCCTGCAAAAAAACTAAGTACATGTGTGGGTGGAAAAGGGGAGATGATCTATTTTAAACTACTCAACATCTTTCACTTTCATGACATTCTAGAAAATTATAATGCCGTTAGGAAAAAAAAGGACATGCTAAGCCATTTTCAGTATGCTAATTGAGGGCATCTTTCGTGCAGCTATCTGTTTCCAACCCCCACTCCTTTTTTTGTAAAAATTTCCTGGGATTTTCTGAAACTGAAAATTGTTTTAGAAAAGGAGAGGAAAAAAATAGCAAGAAAATATATGAATGCTGGTTTTAAGTTATATCTATATAATACATATTCACACACACATATATAAGTAAAAACTACATAAGTGAACCTTCCTGCTTTGTTTTTTACAAAATTTTGTACAAGGCAGTGCTTATTAATATAAATTAATTGTTCTGCCATGCAATGCACAGTTCTAAAAATTAACAGCAGAATCAGGATTCAGTCACTTTTGGCTCCATATTCCTGAATAGCACCATGTGAATCACAGCTAAGATGCCCATAACATACATGCCTTTAAAAGCTTACTGTTATTTAAACACTGTTGTCTGCTCATCAGGTTTAGAACGTATTATTTGAATTCATTAACACAAGAGACTGCATTTTCTACAGACTGACTTCCAAAATCTGACAAGCTAGTGCAGTATGAATTTGCCTCCTAAATAGAAGCAAACATGCTAAGGCAGCAGGGGAAGGTCAGCAAATAAATAGGCAAGAGAAGGATAAAAAAAAAAAAGGCACAGGACTCAAGCCCACCACCGGTCCCCTGCTCTTCAGGGCCCACAACACTAATTCTGCAACATGGAAAGACTTGTGTTTTCACACAGAATGAAGGCTACTGCCTTGAGTAATAATAGTGGCTTGGCCCCTGAAATGCAAAGAAAGAAAATATTTGAAATGGAGAGGAAATGGAGACCACCATATCACGGTGTCACATGCAAAAGGAAATAAAGCCACAAGCACACCTGAGAACTGAGCTGCATGAAACTGAAAACGATGCAAAAAGGACAAAGCTTTTGATCCCACCTGTGTATATTGCATTAGACAACAGCGTAGAGGCCAAACAGCCCTGGAGGCAAAAGCAGATGCCTATTCTTGCTATGGTTCGAGATCACAAAAAACTAACGACTTTCCTGGATCCCCATCTCCTGGAAAGGGCAGATCCCTGCAATGCAGTCAGCAGTGAACTGATGATGTATGCTCTTACCAAAAAGATCCTGACAGAAGGAATCTATCCAGACTATCTTTCCCCTAATGAATTATTTTAATTTTGCCTAAAGTCTATATCTTGTCCAAATGTCACAAACAAAGGTTCTTCCAAATGCAATACAAAACCAACAAACTTCAAGTAATTTCTACTCTCTTCCAACATTATCTCACAGGTCATAAATAATTCAGGTATCATTTTGGCAGTCTGCTCATAGTTTATGCTAAGCCATATTTCATTCCTTTAAGCTCTTCTTCAAGCCTCTTACTTTCTGGCCACCGTTCTCGCTCTTCTCCCAATGCCCTCCAGTTGCTCTTTCAGATTTGTCAGTAGTTTTCTGGTACAGGAAAGCCCGAAGCTAAGAGCACAAACGGGTCTGCACGTCCCTTGGGCAGTTCCTGATTCACCCACGTTTTGTGCGAAAGATAGCACAAAGTCCCAGCAACTTTTGTGCTCACTAGAGCGCTACCAGATTTTGACCTACATAGTCTGAAAGAGCAGGTGAGCTTCTACCTTTACCTACCACCCACCACCCTTACCAGAGACAAGCAGGCCCAGGCGTGACATGAAATGTAATGTCTTGTTTTAACCAGGACTGCTGGCCCTTTTTCGCTTTTATCATGACACTTGTCTTCCAAAGACGCTATTTCCAACCTCCTGGATGTCACTGGGGGGACAGGAGGGAAGAGGACGTACCCTTTGTGATTAAAGGCTGTTTCAAGGATGCTAAATGCCCTTTCCAAACTTGATCTGTGTCCTCAACTCCTGACTCCATGCAACTGTTCAAAGTTCCAACCATGTCTCTGAGCTATTCATGCCAACTGTCAATTCCCTGCTGCACTCCTCCTATTATACTTAACAGCAGAACCAAAGCACGATGATGGTTTTTAATGACTTCAAAGTAGACAATATCACTTTTACGAATCAAAGATCTCCACTACCCTTGAAGTCTCTGATGCGGTTGGAGTTTGCAGAGTTTATTAAGCATCTCAGTTTAGACGAGTATATAGGACAAGGATACAGAAAGGGTTTAAACTGAGGCGGCTTGTCTTTTTTCGAGTGTGTGGAACATTTGTGGGATACAGCACATTTGGTATTAACACATTTTTCTACTAAACTTAGTGTTTCTATTTGAAAATCACTGTAGCTCTTCAGAGCAAGTTAGAAAGTAGCTACAGTTCAAAATTGTTGTAGCTGATTCTTCAATCAGATGGCCAATGATTCTTTAGTTGCACGGAGGTTCAACTTTCTGATTTCTTTTTCCCTTTTTTTTTTTTTTTTGGAAATGTAGATTCAATATCACACTTGAAAAGTAGTAGAAAAAAAAATCTTATTTTTTAATCGGGACAAACTTAGAGATTTCCAGGATAAAGAACTACAGCCCAGCTGATCATGAGAGCTTCAGAGAGAAAACTTCAAGGATAAAGTTAGGAAGCATTTTTGGAAAACATGTGTAGCCCTAAAAAACCCTAGGGCTATTATAGGGCAATTGGTCTTATATTACTCACTTCTTTCCTTGCATGGCCTGGCACAGGTCCCTTTACTAGAGCAGCAAAGACAAGGTAATTTTCATCACTCGTAAGGGCTCACTTCAGTCTCAGACTTCCCTATCCACCCCTATAGTACTGAAAGATCAATTTCTACTTTATAGCATCTTCTTCACCTTCCGACAGCACTCAAAATACCATCAATGCTTTTGCCTAGAATTGCCCATACCAAGGAAGAATTCCCTGTGAATGTGTATGAATGTTCTCCCTTAGCTCATAAAAAATACTATTACTAGAATGGCAGACAAAAATGTTGATGCCTGTGGATGAACTGACCATTGAGCAGCAAACTGACCAATATCCCTGTTCCCTCTGCAAATGAGCCATTCGTTTGTACCCACCTATTACATTTCAGGCTGTATGTTCCTTTGGAAGAGAACTGTGTCTAGTACAAGATCATCATCATCTACAACAATAAAAGGCAAATACAGCCAACAAAACACACAGCAGCTTGGTTTGGTCTCTTGAAGAACAAGTGAAGCTATGGATTTTTGCCTGCTCTTTTCTAAAACCTGAGGAAAACGTCAGTTCTTGCTTAGACCAAATTGTTACTAGACAGACATATCTGTCTCCTGATAACCTATTAATAGAATATTTTTCCATTCGCTGAGACATTCACTTACATAACTGATACATGGATGAGAGACAGAAGAACAGGGAAAAGTGGAACTTTAAGGGATGCCTCTAAAGCTGGACTTCCCTTAGACGGCCTACCATCATCCTGACTGTCACTAGCCCTGAAATAGAAACACACAGCAACAGATACTGTTTTTTACTGATTTTTTTTCTGTGCTTTCATATGAACTAAAGAGATTCAGAATCACAGTCAAGCTTGAATTTTTGTGTCAGCATTACCACCAAAATGACACCAGGATGAATTCTGGAACCAGAGTTATTTAATGTGCTCGGCAGGGAACTTGGAAGGACACTGTTAGGCTGTGCAAGAAGTCACAGAGAATGCGAATCACCTCCTAAAGCTACAAGTGGCTCGGTGGTGCCAACCACAGGATGGTGATGCCAACCATGAGCAGAGCAGCCCCTTTAAACAGCAGCTCTGCAGGCTTGCACAATTCTATTTATTCAAGGCGTTCCTCTCTCCCCTGCTCTCCTGGATCACTTGGAGAAGGCAGCTGCAGTGCTGGAAGAAAAAAAATGCTTCAGCTACAAAAGACTGTTTCTGACACATGTACATTACTATTTGTTACCAACATAGAAGATGGGCTGTGAAATATGTGACTAAGTTTTTGTGTCTTTAATGAGCACTAGAGTTGTTTTCCTTCTCTTAGCATTTTCCTTCTCCCCTTCCTGCCTAACATTACATAATTTCAATCTGACGGAAAACATACTAAATCAATTGTATTTTTAACTGTTGCCTTCCTGGAGGGCAACCTCTTTCCCACGTCCAGGCTATTTGCAGTATCTTTTACTATGAAGACTTCTGCTTTTGACTTTATCAGCACTCTTCTCAAAAAGAAGTTGAGAGAAGTCTTCACTCTATTTGAAATTGGGCATTTTTGAAAATTCTGTACCAGACACGTAGCAGAAACTTTCAGTCTCACAACTTTCAAATCGCATTCATTCTCTGTCCTCTGGCCTCCACATAAGATGTCCAAGAAACATGTCTTTTCACTAACAGGCAGGAGTAGGCTGCCCCCTTGGGATTCATTCAATTGCAAATAAGCCCCAGAAACAGAAAATAAATTTTTCCTTGTAAATCAGGAACAGGTCTTTAATGGGTATCCATGTCTTCCAAGCAAT